CTGACTCATCAGGAGGCTGAATATATATATATATATATATATATATATATATATATATATATATATATATATATATATATATTTTTTAACTTGGAGATAGAAAAAATGACAAACAGAAAACGGATGGGGGAGGAGGACCCTTGGCACTTGGCCCTACCCCACGGGCCCGCCGCCGGACTCCCCAACAAAACCAAAAAAGGATAGTCCCGCAGGACCCTCAACCCCTCGGTATGCTCCAAAGCACTCCTCTGCTCCGTCGCACGCTGCTGGCCTCGATCCCGGGATCCGCTTGGTGCAAGGTTCAATGCCGTAACCTATAGGGCTAAGCCCCAACTTGAACGTAACAGGCGCAGTCCTACTCATAAAGAGTAAGGACTGCCTGTCCGGGCCAGCAAGCAGCACCCTAGGCCGCCCCCCTTACTTACCGTTCGCGTCCAGGGGCCCGTAGGCAYCCCGRCGCGGCTTTGGAGGCCACGGTCCCGTCATGCTTGCCGGGCATGTTGCCACATCACRCTGCGGCTACGGYCGGGCCCTCCTACTCCCTCACTTTCACCGGGAATTGTCCGGCCCACCACCCTTGGGCCGAAAAGCACCCCAACTTCTACTCACTCCGTCCCGACCTACGCCGCCCTAGCTAAAGCTCGCCACGACTCCCACTGTCGGCAGCACGTGGTTTACCGGATCCCTGCGAATTTTTACATGGCGCGGCCCTGAAYYGTCGGCCCCCAGTAAGTCGGACAAYGSCCCCCTCTTGATCACCGCCTTACCTRGTCAACTTTGCGTCGTCCGACATTTCGTCCGTGTGTGTGAGTGTGCGACCGCCGCAGAAAGTCTAGCTTAACCCTAATCTATCCTACCGGCGTCTCATGGTCTTCCTCAACCCGGACTCAGTCAAGCTAACGCGTGCCCACGAAGTGCACGCTCATACACTCCCTAACCAATACAAATGGGACGCGCCCTCAGATAGCGTCAGGCGCGTTCTTCCTGTGACCTGCAAAAACGTGCCCAAATACCCTTGTAAGGGTATTCAGGCCGACAGTTTTCCGGACCTTATTAAGCGACGTCCCCGTCGCGTCGGACAATCAAAGCTATAACACAATTACATCTTGCTGACAAGGAAATGACCAATCCGATTCACCGGCTCGACTCCGTTCGAGGTTGCCTTATCAACCTGCTCCCGTCACGACGTTCCAACTCCAGGGTTTCAACCTGGGTCTACCACGTCCTGGCCTCGGAGCTAGGGGATACTTTGTTCCGTACTACAACGTACTACCCGCTCCCAGGTAGTAGGTTGATGGTCCTCTCCCTTCGTCGTAGACCTCTGCCAGTTCATCGTTGGGTGTCCCATTTAGTCATCGTCGCGCGAACGGGGTCATAACTTAGGACGCGGACCCTAACTGAGACCTCTCAAAACACAGGGCGCTTTCAACCGCCCACATGGTAGTATCTACCATCTCAACTCACACGAACGCCCAGCCTGGATTCTAACACAGGAGGCTTCAGGTCTCCATCTTGGCCCACCATGGACCGGTTGATCACGCCGAATCCACGGCCCACCGCGTTGTTATGTAGCGATGGTGCCCTCGTTGGTTACGCAGCGATAAGCAATTCTTCCTATCTCGGCACCCGGATGGGTCCTGACTCTTGACTTAATCGACCCCAATGACCTTCCCTCCAGCTAAACCTCTCTGGGTGACCGACCCTTCAAGACTTAACCTTTGGTAAGTCATGGTCCCGCTGCCAGGTTGCGTCGGTCAGCGGCCCTCGCTGGGAGTTAGGTTCTACAGTTCCAGCGATGCTAAGTATAGCCCCTTAGCCTGGCCTCACAATACGTCCCTTAGACTAACCCTTGTGGTCTGGCACTTCCTTTCACAACAGCAATCAAAGGATCACATACCGCTGCTCACGGGACTACGTGGAGGGATAGTGCCCTTCTCAATGTTTCACCCAAAATCCTCAATAATTCCACAGGGTCGTGCCCCTACTTTGATCAGAAGCAGGTGAGGTCACGCGTCTTTTTAGGGATACTCACAATATTCTCCAAGTTCCAACATAATTGCCAGAAATTTCCAACTATGATTTTCACAAAATATCTGGTCTTTCCTCGTCATACTTTTACATACATACAAACATTATTATTACTTATAGCGACTCTATTGAACGCTCTCCCAAATTTTCATCCTGTTAAGAAAGTCCAATCGGCCATTGGACTTCCCTTTTTCTTTTTTCAATCATACACAAAATTACACAACTTTTAGTTGTGACATTTCCATTCATCATTATCTGGGCAAAATACATCATGTCATCATTGTCTCCATAATCTGAGGATGCTTCCTTCCATTATACTCCCGGCTTCACTTGTCATGGGGCAGGGAGGCGTAAGTACAGTAGAAGAAAGCGCAGATCAAATCATTTCACAATACTTGTCTCACCACACCATCATCCATATGGGCAAATCCACAAACTGAGAGTGAGAATGATACGACACACACAACATAAAGACAAGGTTTGAGACTCGTGTGTACACCCAAGACATGGGGCCCCGCACTGTGCAAAGGCTCCTGCCCTTATTATAGAACATAAAATATTATACAAGGGGTTCAGGTACCTCACAAAGAATCAAGGTAGCCAAGTGTCGAAGTATCGGGCTCGACAGCCGCTCCACACTCACGAGCGTTATTTCACAAGAATATTAGCACTCTACACCACACTAGCAGAAGAAGTAGTCAGATTCAGTGTTATCTTTATGTACAGAAGGACTCTCAAGTCTATAATGCGATGCAACACCTCACTACTGGCTCAGCTTATTGATGTACATGGGTCTGATCCAATCCTCCATGTACCCTTCTATATACAAGTAGCCATCAGTCTGAGAGTCAGAGAAGTCCCGCATATGTTTAGACTTCAGACCTTTCCAGACCTTATTAGAAAATCCTACTCCTGATCGCTCATGACCTCCTGCAGCTGCCTATACAACTGCACCCTCACCCCATCACGAGCCTTAGGAACTAGGATTCCATTTCTATCTCTCCATACCCCAAACGACTCCCTGGTACACAATCCATTTGCCTCGACCTTGAGGCTCTTGGGGCAGTCATCAGATCGATGTTTGCCCCTCTTGCAATAGAAGCACTTGCCAAGCTTCTTCTGAGTCATCTTCTCTCCTTCCAGCGAGGGTACAGATGACGGGGTTGTTCAAGTTGAGATCTTGCTCGTAACCTCCTGCTGTGGGACCCCTGAGGAAGCGGGGCAGGCTGCTCTGTCATCTGCTGGCATCCCCAGCTCCCCAACACGCCCCTCTGACCCTGACCCAGTGGCCCAAGATCCCAGTACATCCTGCAAATCTGTAACACCTTCTGAAGCATGGTTGACTCCTGACAGTCCCTCAGGTCCACTCTCTGCCTAGTCCCAACCATGGTCTGGCCCACACTTTCCTGACCCTCTTGCTGTCCCACAATCGCTTTCCGAATAGTAGGTGGAACCTCCCCAACTCTCATTGCCTCAACTGGTGGCCCCTTCTGTGGTACTGCCGGCTCGTGTCCCAGTGTCAGGCCAGCAGGTAACCTCCACTCAAACTCTCCGACCTCTGCACCTTTTTCCACAAGCACTCCTGGCTGCTCCAACATCTCTTTGTCGATCAGAGGGATTTCCTCACCGTCCTGCTGGTCCGCCATCTCTACTTCCCTCTCCCTCTTGAAGACTTCCTCTGCAGGCTGTTCCCTGATTTCGAACTTTTGGACCTCTATCCAATCCACCACTCTTGTGGCACTCTTGTGGGAGCTTGCTGGGTATACTTGGCTTCGAGGTCTCGAATTCTTTTCTCCCACTCAGTCTCCTTAACCTGGAAGAAGGTCAGCTGTGCACACAAATAGGCCCTCAGAGCGTCAGTGACCTTGTTAAGGGTCTGGTTAACTTGTCTGACGGCCTCATTCTCTGTTGAGACTCTCTCCATGTCCGCCTTTACTGCTGCCAACTCTTTGCCCTGTCTTCCCAGCTCCCTCTTCAGGCCCTCAGCCTCTCTCTCCCAGTCCACCCTCTGGCCATAAGCCTTTTGTGCCACCTTTGTCAGCCTGTCCCCAATCTTCTGATCTGAGGTCCTTGCTACAGTGAAGCCTTCTCTCATCTCGCTCCTTAGGTTGAGCAGGTCTGTAGAGACCAACTTAACCCCTATCTCCTGATGTTGTCCACCTGATCTTCCTGTGGTGTCCATCAGTTTATCGAAGCCCATCCAAACCTCTGAGAACAGAGGAGGGTCCTCCTCTTGAGTGCATGTACTCTTTCCTTTTCTGTCCTCCACCTCCTCAGGCGCCTGTCCTTGCTGCATCCTCTCATGCAGTTCTGCCAGGTTCGTCTTTCGAAGTTGAGTCCTGATCTCCAGCTCCCTTGCTGCCCTCTCTTCTCTGTCCAGCTCCTTTTCATCAACAGACGGTTCCTCCCTCAGCTCTTGCGTATGCGGCTCGTGAGGGATGTCTGGCTCTGCGTCAGGCATGRGGCCATCCATYTYCMTCTRAGCAGGTTGTGGAGGTGCRTCTGAACCATCGGACCCYTCTGCTCTCTCATGTCGGTGGGACTTGTGTTCCTTCCTCCTTTCCTCCCTCYGAGCCCCTGGTGACGCGCCCTGCTCAAAGGTTCCCCTTGCCTCYGTCTCAGGTTCCCTTCTCCTTTTTTCCAYACCTCTCCTCTCACTTGCCTGACGAGCTRGAGTATAATAGTTSCATAGCAGCTTCTTGCAGTGCCCCCAGTTCTTGGCAGATGCTACGATAGATCGAACAAAGGGTCTGATGTGGGGCCTCACGAACAAAAGGAAGCTCCCCACCCTCTTGCTCTCCTGGGGTATCGAGCTCATCTGCATACCGATCATAGGCCCATAGGAACTCCCCCAGGTTAGTGGAGTCGAACCGAATGGGTTGTCCATCCCTTCCCAGTGGTGACGGGTGCAAACCCTCCATCCTCCGTCCAAAGTCTTGCCAGCTCAGCGACTCTCTGACCAGTTTAGCAATAGGGTCCGCCCACTCGCCTGTGCCTCGCACCTCTCTCAACATCCTGGTGTTGTCCCATCTAAACTCTCTCGCATGCCGCTCGAACTCCATCAAGAACAGCTCAATGTTCCCTCCCTGGAAGACTGGAGGTCTGTCCTCTCTCCTGGTCCTCATCTGCGTCCTCTGTCGGGTTGCCCCAAAAGGGGATTCCACTGGCCCTGCCCTCCCCTCCCTCTTGGCATGGTTGCCCCAAGCGGTATCAAGCCTGCACAACAGGGAAGAGGCGAACAGAAGCACACAGAGGGTAAGCGATGTCAGACAAAACACAACAGGAGACAGACATAACCCTCCCACACCTATCTCAACTATCTACCTACACACACATACACATACAAAGTCATACACACATGCAAGTCTAACCACAACCTATCACGCTATTCTACTGAGGGCAGCACCCGAAGTAGCCACTAGATGACTTTAAGTGGTGGTATCCCTACTCACCTCGTCTCGAGCCACAAACTTCTTTAGCCTCGAGCCTGACACCCAGTCCTTCCATGCCGTCCCATTCAGCTCTTCGATTTGGTAGGCACCATGTTCACCACATCTGGTGACCCTGTAAGGCCCCAACCACCTCTTATCCAACTTCCGTGACAACTGCTTTTCCAGGGACGAGTCGTACAACAACACAACGTCTCCCACCTTGAGAGGCTCCTTTCTTACCCTCGCCATCTTGTCCCACCGGAACTTGTCCTTGGTACGGTTGTCCGCGGTTCAACTTGCTGCCCCCTCAATCCTGTCCTCAATAGCACCGATTTGTCGTGCCCTCAAATCTAGCAGTTCCTCAAAGGTCAGATCAGTCTCGAGGTCCTGTCGCCTCCAAGTTTTCAGGAAGCTTTCAATGGGAAATGTCGCATGCCTTCCGTACTATAGCGTAGCCGGTGCATAGCCAGTGCTCCTCCTGATAGTGACGTTATCCACGAAAAACGCGACCCTCAGAAAGTTTGGCCATTGGTTAGGCCTGTCACCGGTCCACTTGGCAAGAAGATTTGTGATGGTGTTGTGCCCTCTCTCCACAAGTGCATTGGCTTGAGGGTGCATCGCAGTCGTATACTCAGCGATTACCCCATACTTTTTCAAAAGAGCCTTCACTTCTGCACAAGTGAATTTGGACCCCCTATCCATCACAAACCTGGAAACAAAGGGGTAGCGAAGATAATATTCTTCGATGCATCTAGCCAGCGTCTCGCCAGTTTTTGTGCGAATGGCCCTGCCATCCACAAACCCCGAGAGGTTGTCCCGTGCATCAAAGATGAAATTGTAGCTCCCTATCCCCAACGGCATTGCCAATAGATCCAAGTGCACGACTGCTCCAACCTCACGAACGTACCTTTGGTGCAGCGGCTCCCTGGGTCTGAGAGCAGACCGTTCCTGGCATGGCACGCAAGACTTACAGTAATCGTCGATCATCTACCTCATGCCATCCCAATAGTACAGCTCGTGGATTTTCAGATATGTCGTATCTGCACCTATGTGGCCACCTGTCGTACCGTCGTGCAGTGCCACCATAATGTCAATCTGGCGAGCGACGCCGCAGACTACTCTCCTGGGATTCCTTCCTTTGCTCCTCATGAACAGATGACCATCCCTTACCAGGAAGCTTGGCCTCATTTTCAGAACTCTCGCGCAAGCATCCCTTTCCCTCATCTCGCACGAAAGAAGCATGCCGAGTTTAAGGTATACTCCCTCATACTCCTCTGCTCGAAACGCTTCCTTGATCTCCCCCTCTTCGAAGTCACCATTTTCTCTCTCATGAATCACGTTGTCACCTCCTCCCGGCTCTATCTCCTCTTCTTGGTCTAGTACCTCATTTCTGACCGTCTCTTCCTGAAGCAGCGCATTTGCCAGCAGGTACACCCCACCTATCATCTTCCCGTGCTTACCCACCTGTAGCGCCCCATTTTCAATTGTAAGCGGGTCTTCCTGCAGCTCGTACTTGCCTGCTAAGGCCAGCTCCATCATCCAACCTACGTCCGACATTCCCCAAGAATCCTCTTCAATATAAGGTTTGAGGACTAAGTCTGGTCGTCCCACATGTCCTGGAGGCGCAAGCCATACGGGCCGCCCAGGAGCAACATACTTACCTACGGCCAATGCCCAGGAGTTGATGTGAAGTCTCACATCCTCCTCACTGTCCAGGAACCCGTCGACTGGTGGAGTGTCCTCGATCACTCCTTGATGGTTCTTGTCCCAGTCGACTCGGCTCAGCCCATCCACCATATTCTTGGTCCCAGGAATTCGCTTCAACTCGAAGTCAAACATCCAGATGTACGCCAGCCATCTGGCGATAGTTGGATCTGACGGAGCGAAGTTCTTGAGAGAACCAGCCAGAGCCGTAGCGTCCACCCTCAATACGAACCTATTGCCAAAGAGGTAGTTTCTGAAGATCCTCAAATAGTGAAGGACCGCCAAGGTTTCGCGCTTGAACTGAGAGTAGTTCCTTTCAGACGTATTGAGCGTCCAACTCTCAAACCTTAATGGTCGTTCCTCCCCATTGGGATCTTGCTGGATCAACACACCTCCCAGAGCAGTTGGCCCTGCGTCTGTCTCTACGATGAACGGCCTGGTCATCACCGCCGCATGGTCCGGTACCCCCAGTACTAGACCTCCTTCCTCAAACTCCTTCTTCAGGTTTTTTATCACCGACTCTTGTCTGTCTCCTCATTCCCAGTCTTGTCCTTGACGCACGCGCTTTCGTAATTGCTCCGTCTTTGCCGCAAACCCCTTAATAAAGATCCTCCAAAACCCACACGTGCCCAGAAAACTTCTCACCTCCGTGATAGTCTGGAACGGTGTTGGTCATTCGAGAATCTTGTTAGTCTTCTTAGTATCTGGCTGACGACCCCTCTCGTCGCACACAAATCCTAAGATAGTGACACCACTTATGCAGTGCCTCGATTTTAGCCCACTGGCAGTGAGGTTATGCTCCTTCAAGAGATCCAGGACCTTGCACAAGTCTTGCACATGATCCCACACAAAGCAACTGATTCCTGGCATCACCTCCTGCTCATCCTTCTCCTTAGGCCCCTTCACGGCCAGATCATGAATGTAGGGTTGTGTGATGTGAGGACTTATGGGCTGCATCGCCCTTACCATATGTCGCTGGACCATAGCGACCGCATTCGTCCACCCCTGCGGTGCGACGTTCATGTGGATCAGCCCTCGAGGGGTATGCATGGCTGTCATAGGCCGGTCCGACGGGTATACAGGGAACTGATCGTAGCCTGAATACAAGTCAATGAGGGATATGATGGCCCTCCCAGCGCATGTCTCTGAAAGCGCATCAGCGTTGGGAAGGCTACCTGCGTCCCTCACTGTCACCGCGTTCAGGCGCTGCAAGTCCTATACCCACCTCAGAGTCCCATTGGGTTTGACAAAGCAAAACCAGAGGGACGCATACGGACCACTCGAGTAATCTGCCACATGAGTGCGAATCTTTCCATCAAGGTAGCTAACTACCTTCTCTTCGTCAGCAGGATTCGGGTACCGCGCACCTCGCAAGTTCCATGGCTCGTGAGGTACGGTATGTATCCTAATCATTAGGATAATATCCACGTCCAGTCGACCCCTCTCATCATCACTGAAGGCATATGCCTCATGCCTTCCTCTTATGGCCTCCACCACAAGTTTTTCTTCTTGCGCCGTAAGGAAGCCAGGTTCCCCTACAACCAACGCCTTTTCTGTCTCAGGATTGATACGGCATGGCCCATTCTCCGCTTTCTCTCGCAGTTGCCGTATCAATTCTCGTTCCCGCTCATAGTAAACCTCTTTCTCTTCGGTGACGAGTACGGGAACAGGGCGTCACTTCTGGTCTACCCTTTTGTACCGCCTTTGTGCACCTTGTTTGAGCCCACCCCTAAAAAAGGCCGAGTTGCGCTTTGGGGTTGTGCTCCACTCGCTTCATCTACCTTCCCAGACGTTCGATATACCAGTTCCATCTCCCCTGCACCCATTTGCTCTACTACCTTCTCTTTCAAGGCCTCCACAGCCTCGGGGTCCGCCATCCCATAAGTCGATACTATATCCATAGCATCCCCTATGTTTGCCAAGCTTAGCGTCAGCGCCTCTGGCTCTCTTACCTCCTCAAGTCTGCTGCTTTCTATCCTCAACCTTTCTTCTTCCGACTCTTCAATCGTGAATTAACCGGGGTTGGGCCGGTTCCTTACGCTCTTGGGTCCTGTGTTCTTGCAGGAGATGACCTCATAATTCCCGCACACGGGGTCACACAGGATGAGGAACATAGTTCCATCGTGTTTGTTGAGGATGACCGTCTCTTTCCGACTTAGGAACGATCTCCCAAGTAGAATAGTATGGTCCAAGTCAAGCATCACAAAGAAGCAGCTCCTTACTTTCACCTTTCCAATCTCCAATATCACTGACGACGTGGTCCCAATAAATATCGATTGGCTATTGGCCCCCATTAAAACCCCGTTGTCAGAGTGGTCTATCCCCATCCCTAGACGCACTGCATCTGCCTCCTTTATAAGGTTCATTTATGCGCCGCTATCCACCATTGCTGTGCACGTCTTCCCTTTTACCACAACGTCGAGGCAGCCACAGGCGACAGACTTCCAGTCCATCTTAGTACCCGTTCCAACCCACTCCGCCTCCTTAGGGATTATAGTCCCTAATCGTATGTTGGCTACCATCTTCCTGGATAGTCTTGCTCTTAACTCTTTCCTAAGTCTAGGCGCTGAGGCTAGTACGTCCTTCAGGTTCATAAGGTGATTATGACCCTCTAGGATTCTGTTCATTATCTCTTCCACATCGAAGCCTTCTTCCACTCGGACAGCGTACTTCTTCTTCTTTACTTCTTGTGCCTTGTCTGTATCAGGCCTGGCACCCCTCTTCTTGGCTCTTTGCTCGGCTCTCTCATCCTCTTCCTTCCTCAACCTATCATCTTCATCATTCTCTCCTTCTGGAACGTCCACTACCTCTTTCTCTCCATTGGGTTCAGGAACATCCTTGGCCAGTTCTTCGGGGCTCACCGGCCCTTTAGCCCTCGTCCTGACAGCATGAGGCGCCCTCCCCGTCCTTGAGGGTGGTCTAAAGGTCATTCCGGATCGAGGCGTCGCTCCTGAGGTCGTGACGTTTGGTAGATTCTCGGACCCTCCTTGCGACCCCGGACCTAAGTCGTAGAGGTATACCGATGGCTCCTTACCTTGCCACCCCTTGACTTCTTCGCACATATCAGCCAACTTCTGTTGGTATCGCCCGACTTTGTCTATCAGGTCTTTCATTCTCTCCATTGTCTGTCGGGCCGTTCTCCAATAATCTTCCCGTCTCAGCACGCAGCGGCCTGTTCCAGCAATCTTCCTCAATCTCATCGTCGGACTCTACTATGATCGGTTCTGCCTTAGTAGTGTCGGCCTTCCTTTCTTGCTCCACCTCTGCGTTCTCTCCTACCTCCTCCACCCTGATGTCACTACGGACCTCTTTCTCCTGCCATATCCGAAACATGGCTGGGGGTGCGGGTGGCTCACCGGCCTCAGCCCTTCATAGGGCTTCCTTCCTCGTACCGCTTGGAATCTTCGGGTCAAGGTGGTACCCCCACTTGTCGTACATGTCTCCATCATAGTTGGTGTTAATTAAACCTTCGTCCTCGTCGTTCCTCCTCACGTGGCAGAACTTAATAGTGTGGCCTTTCTGCCCACAATGCCAGCAAATGGCATTTCTCCAGTCTACTCTCCCTCTGCCAGCACCTCTTCCACCCTCTTGACTGCCTTGACTCCCGGATGCCGTCCAACCCTCGTTTCCGCCACCCGAAGTGTTACCACCACCATTCCCTCTACCATTTCCTCAACGACCACCATTCCCCCGTCCTCGGCTCCACCTTTGGTTCTGTCCACGTCCACCCCCTTGATTGCCTTGCGAACCTTATGGGGCTGACTGCTGAGGTTGGTTTGGCGGTGAGTTCGGGTGGCTCACTTGTTGCGCTTGGGGTCCCGGGCAGCCATAGGAAGCCGCGCTCACTGATGGTCCGGCGCACGACCCATGCGGCCTGCTCATTGGCGATGGGGCGTATGAACAGTGCCCATGCCAATGACTCGAAGGTCCACAACCTGGCCATAGCCCATAGTGAGCTGGTGCAGCCTGACTGGGCGACTCAGGAGGTGGCATGGCTACAGCTTGCCGGACCTGCCCCTTTCCTGAGCCCTGCCCCCCTTGAGCCAAGTTCCTTGCCTTTCTCTGAGCCTTGGTCAACTTCTGTGGCTCAGACTCCTCCTCCTCTTCCTCTTCTTCTTCCTCCTGCACCACTGCTTTCTTTGCCTTCCCTTGGTTCTATGGTGCCACCATAGTTTTCCTTTTTGCCTCTTTCTCTGCATCGAGCTGGGCCACTGCATCTTCTATCAGTTTCTTAAAGTCTTGTCCACCGCTCGTCGTGGCGTCCAAGGCTTTTCTTTTCTTCCTAGCCTGTCGCATTTGGAAGATGTCTACTTGGTTCAGCTCTCCTTCTATTACTCCCTCCTTTATGGCACCCCAAGTGAGCTTCTTTCTTGGCGCAGCCTTCTTGGTTAGTGACGAGGCCTCCCAATTCTTGAAGTGCCCCAGGAAAGTGGCACATTGTTCTTCTTCCGCCAATCCGGGGACTTTCTTGGCCATCTTCTCAAACGCCGTTGCGAAAGCTCCCACCGTGGAGAACTCGTCCCGCTGTAACATCTCCAAATCTGTCTTCGTTAACAAACCATCCCCTAACTTGAACCGCCTCTGCATTTCTGCCTTGAACTTAGCCCTGTCTCCTCCTGCTCCAGCAGCCACCTTCATTACCTCGGGCTGAGTTTCCCACCAGACGTACCTGGGTAGGAACTTGAATTTATCTGCCTCATGCACCTCGGCCGTAACCTGCTCCAGTAGCTCCAGCCACTCGGATACTCTAACCCCATTAAAATGGAAGATGTTAACTTTCGGCACTTGAAGTTGTGCCTACTCCCTTTTCTCGAGTGCCTTGACGAAATCCTCTGGCGTAGCGGCTGGGCCACGCTCGATTTCATCAACGTCCGACATCTTCACCTTTTTTTGCTAACGAACCTGACAGGAGTACCAAGGGATAGATCGGTAAGCAGTTCGTCAAGTTTAGAGGGTCTGCCCTACGTTCTTCTTGACCATTCCACCCTTAAGTTTAGCTACCCGCTCCACCATTAATCATTCGCGCCCTTTATACAACCTTTAATCGCACACCATATCACTCAGTCTTATTATGACGTCATATACAACCCTCCTATAACTTTTTGTCATTTTGCTTAGATCATCAGCCTGCACTTAACCTGGGTTCGTTCTCTAAAGAACCCCGGTAGGCAGCCGAGATCCTCGGCAACGGTGCCACCTGTCGAGCGCATCGGTCCCACACGGGGACCCTCCCGGCCGCGTCACGCAGGATTATGCAGGACTTGTCACGGAGAGCGTTTGCCGCTCCGGCCGAGTGCGTCATCCGTACCTCTCGCGATCCCCTACGACAGGACAGAGTCACGCGAGGCACCGCTACCTCCACCTGCGGGAGTTGTCACCATCCGTTAGGTGGGCGTATCCCTGCCGAGCTACTGAACCACATGCGAAAGCTTTTCATATGCAATTGCAGAGGTGGTCCAGCCGAGGGCGTTTCTCATTCGCTGTAGCATAGGGGGTACGTGTGGTCGAACGCCCGAAATCGAACCC